AGCAATTTCTGTGCTCGCATTGGACACCTTTGAGGAAGGAAGAAAAAGGTAGTCGTGCCATCTCTATTTCTGATTTAACCAGTGAAGAACCTTCCCATCCACTTTTATGAATTCCTTTCCCTTTCTCCAGGATCCAGTGCAAATAAGAATGGCAGGAACATGCGTCCCCACCTGCCCTCACCAATGGAAGGAGCTGGCTCGTTGGTGAATGAGAAACCTCACTGGGCCGGCAGCATTCACACCCTGCCCACACCTGGCCCTACCCTTGGATGCCTTGGCAGAGCCTCCAAGGAGCAGCTGCTGATGCCCAGCTCCAGGAGCCGTGGCCCGGGCCGCTCAGTAGTGGGGACCCCAAAATCAAAAAGGAGGATTTGACAATGAATGGAAAGGAACATGGACACCCTGAGAAGGGCCTGGAGGATGTGTTTGCTGTTCTGTGACTATTTTACTCTAACCCATTGACCCACTCAAATATATATAATGTATACATATAGCCAAAACTGGGAGAAGTCACTGCCAAAAACTGGAACTAAAGCCACTCTGCTGGATACTTAGGGAAGGTAGGGATTCCTCTCAGTGTTTCCCCAGATTTGTCCCCAGGACTCTCAGGAGGGACGACCTGCCTGTGCACCCCCAGACTGGGCCAACTCTGCCGCCTCTCTGTGTGTCCATCCTCACCTTTCCAGGCTGGGGTCAAGGGGTGCTGGGATGGGGGGAACCAGTCAGAGGTCCTGGCTCAGAGCCCTGTGACCCCCTGAGGTGTCTCAACCTCTGTTAGTCTCTGCTTCCTAAAATAAAAAGTGAAGCTGTAGCCCTGCCTTGCTGGGACATTGGGAAGAGTGAACAAGACCTGCGTGTGTTGAGGGCTCACTCCAGAACTCATCAGTCCCCAGATGGGACAGACGGCCACACAGGTCCACACGGAAAGGGTGTCAGACCGTAAGTCATGGTTTTCAGAAGATAATAGAGTGGTAGCCTCCTGGAAACTCCATCTAGAAAGCTGTCCACGTCTGTGCCGGCCTCTGGCAGGAAGATGTTTCTAGCATAAAGACAAATGTTTAAAGGTGATAGATACTCCAATTACCCTGGTCTGATCTTTCCACGTTACATGAATGTATAAAATTATCACATGTACTCCAAAATGTGTACATTGATTATGTGTTCACAATAAATAAGTCTTACTTGACAGACTGCAAGCCAGGGGCCAGAGACACCAATGGCTACAACTGAGTGTACACACAGCTTGTGTGAAGTGTCTCAGGGCACTGAGGATGGAGCAGCCACCCCTGCCCAGAGGCAGAGGGTGCAGATCTGGGCAAGCTCCAGAGGGTGCACCTGCTGGGTCTTGGGAGGAGCAAGGAGGGGCAGCCGCAGCAGGACAGGAGGAGGCTGCACCAGGAGGGCACAGTAGCCAGCAGTGAGCGCTGAGCAGTCCTCGGGCCACTGTGCTGGCAGTTTCCAAATACGGCCTGACCTCCCTCCCAGACTTCTGGAGGGGACAGGGCTGCTCCACATCCCACGCAGGGAGCTCTGGAGCCAACGCCATGACTCATGACCCGTGTCATTTCCCGAGCTGCTCTGCTGAGTCAAGGTCTGGAAACTCATCCTCCGATCACACAGGTTCAGTGTGCTGGGACACCCCACTCCTCATAGGCCTGCCAGCATCTGAGGTGCCCACAGCCGGCACCCTGCTGTCTTGAAGCCACTCCGCAATCCGGCAGGACATCCATGTGCACAGCCAGAGGACAAACGCCCACAGCCTGAGCCCCTCATGGCACCCGAAGCCACTCTCCAGGACAGCAGCTAGCCAGGAGAGGAAAGTCCACGCTGGAAGACCCGCAGCTGCATCTGAATGGGGCCGCCCAATGGCAGAGCCTGGCCCCTGAGCAGCCGGGAGCACAGCGGGAGAGGCTGAGGGAGAAAGCCAGCAGGGGGGTTGCAGAGGCCACCTGCACAGCCCGCACTGCAGGAGCAGAAGGGAAGAGTAGGCTGTCAAGCAGCAGGAGTGTCTCGGGGAAGTCCTCAGCCCAGCGCTGAATGGAATAGAAAGACCCCATATAGGTCCTGAGAGCAGCATTTTAGAGACCGACCCCCCAGCAAGTGGGTCCCCCAGTCTGCTGGGCCAGTGCTGAGACATGCACCACAACCCCAAGATAGATGGGATGAAGAAAACTCGGTGCATATGCACCATGAAATAGCACTCAGCTCTGCAAAGGATGGGATTGGGCACGGGCAACACGGCTGGACCTGGAGGTCATCTTGCTAAGTGAAATCAGCCAGCGCAGAAAGACAGGCGTCACGGGTCCTCACTCCTCTGTGGGAGCTCCTGAGGATAGTGAGTGGCCGTCACCAGAGGCTGGGAAAGGAGCGAGGGCGGGGAGTGAAGAGAGGCTGGTTCATGGGCACAGGTGTCCGGATGGAAGAAACCAGACCTGGCGTTTGGTAGATCAGTAGGGCAACCATCGTTTACAATAAGCTATTGTATATTTGAAAATAGCTAGAGAGGAATAACTCAGTCGTTTCCAGCATAAAGACAAAATTTAAGGTGATAGATACACCAATTACCCTGGTTTGATCTTCCCACATTATTTGAATGTATAAAATTATCACATGTACCCCAAAATATGTACATTGATTATGTATTCATTTAAAATAACAATTTTTTAAAAACCCAGGAGGATTGGGTGCCGGATGGTGCTGAGGGCTGTGGGCTGACCCTTCACCCAGCGGGGCAGGAGGGAAAGGCCGGCTCTGATTGGCAGGTCCCTGGAGAAAGCAGCTCCAGGGGAGAGTGTCATCACGGAGCAGTGCCAGATTGGAATCCTCTTGGATTTGCAAGATTGAGAGATTTCTGGCTACAGCAAAACACCAGTCGAAGTTTTGCACAAAGAAAATAAAGGTTTTCTTTTCCTGAACCTCAGTTCTTATTTGGAGTCCTAAAGGAAAGAATTCACACCAACAGAAAAAGGTATTTCTCGGTCAGGAAGTTCAAGCTTGTTTCCTCAGGAGCCTGGTCATTTATAAAAATAACGGTGATGAGGTTTTCTGAGACAGGGTTTCACCCGTTACCTGATATTTAGGACCCAAAAGCAGAGAGAGAGAAGCTGCAGGCTACTGAGGAGCTAAGCCTCAGCTGGATAATTTACCTAGAATCAGGACCGTCAAGGCATGCGTGTTTTCAGGGCAGGCACTTGTGACCCATGGGCTGTGCAGCTGATGAAGGAGGAAGAAGGTGGGGTTGGGGGTGTAGTGGTTCCCGTCCACCCATCTTCCAGATTTTCTGAGCTGGGGGCTCAACCTGCCTGCCTTGCCTGCCTGCCCCGGAACCAAGGGGCAGGGAGGAGATTAGACACAGAAATCCCCATTTCTGAAAAAGACCAACCACGTGAATCAGGGCCTGCTAACAAGCAGGTGTGACTCTGGCCCAGGAGATAGAAGCTTTTCAGGCAGCACCTTTGTCCTCATGGAGCTCAGAGCCCAGCTGGAGAGACACAACAAACACAGAAATCAAGGCCTGGGGTGTCCATCCCCACGGTGGTGGCACAGTGCCCCTGGGGTGGGGCTGGGGGCTCTTCGCCCGCAGTGGCTGGAGGGTGCCTGGCCAGCGGGGACAGCCACACATGGAAGGGAGGAGCCAGTGACCCTCCAAAGGCGCCTGGTCCAGGTGCCCATCCCTCAAGACCCCCAGGCCCCGCACTGAGTGGTGAATCCACGCACAGGCCACGCATGCCTCCGAGGTGTGCACGGCATGGTAGGGAAGGAAGACCGGGGGAGGGTAACCTCAGAGGGAGGCTTTGGTTTTGGGGTTTTAAGGGACCCTGGGAGAGGCTGGGCCCCAGAGAGCCTCACCGCTGTCCCCAAGTCACCAGGCTCATCGCGTGATCAGAGGAAGACACCAGAAAAACTCTATTGAGTTTCTAGTCACTGTAACTCATTCATGAAGACATTGGGAGATGCCTCTGCCAACTGTGTTGGCTGCATCTCAAGGGTGGGACAACGCGCCTCGGAGGGACAGCGTGGAAACAAGGAGCACAGAACAGCCGACCACAGGATGTCTCAGACCCGGGGGGTCCGCGCAGCCAGCCAGCCTCAGGAAGAGATGAGGACAGTGGGGTTGGGGATCACGGGTGGATCGCTGAAGAATTCTTGTCAGACCTACACTGCCATTTCTTCCCTCTCCAGCAACTTCAAAGAGTAAAAAGTTGCTCCCTCTTCAATATTCAACTGGAGTATTCTAGGAGGTACTTTATGTATCACCTTTCCCTAAAAGAGTTACATTCCCTAAAATATAATAGTACTTGCATTTTCTACAGAGGGATTTGGTATAATTGGAATATTATTTGTTTACTTTAGAAAACATGAAGTAATTAAGATAAGCAAGAAACCTGGATAATATACAGCAGAAAACACTTTCAAGTAAAAAAGTAAACAGAAATTTCTCTTAGAAAACTAATGATACTAAATGGATTTATGATTCTCTAATTTAGCTTTTATGTAATACTAAATGAGTCCTATATCTTATCTACTTTAAAAAACATTTTCTAATTATAAAAATATGCCACATCACCAATAGCTAGAGATTTTTATAAATAATTTTATTTACAGAAAATTCACAGAGGATTAATAAAATGTCATGAATACAATTTTGTTGGTAATAGCAGAATCAGAGTTGACTAACATTAAGGTCACATGGTATATTAGTAATACAA